CTGCTGGGAAACGTCGTTCGCAAGGAAGCAGCAAGGAGACAAGCATGTGTGCAGCCCTGCCTTCCCCTGCGTGCCCTTGTCTCATGCTGCCGCTCAGAAGTGATAATACAACATGGAGTCTGACAAGGCAAGCAGAAACTTTTGCAAAATGAAACAGCCACGATCTGGAATGGGCTAAGTTTAGATTTGTTCATTTGACCTTACTTCAACATCCACGAGCACCCTTGCTCCCATGTCTCTCCCGCAGGAGGTTGTCCCTCTCCCTGGGCCCTCGCAGTAGCTTACTTGCAGATGAACTTTGCACCCTGGGGGAGGAGGTAGTTCAAGGTAGGAGGAAAGGAGGGAAAATAAAATAAAGCCCTTGTTTGTTGACAGAGCTATAGTCAGAGCTGTTTTCATAACTCAGAGTGCAAGAGCTGGTATGTCTGGGCTCCTGCTCCACTGCTGTTGTTTTTGTTACTTTCTGGTAATACAAAACTAACCGGCTGTGCTCCCAGCAGATCCTCTCCTTCTTTGTCCCCTCCCACTTTTACCTAAACGTGACTAGGTAATATAGGGTGACATGTCAGTAAGAGAAGTCCTCCACTTGCCCCAACTCTGCTACTGTTACTCACAATATACCATCTACCCAAGTCTTAAAGGTGGCAAATGTGCTAAACACAATTAGGTGTTTGTTAAGATCCTCATACCCCACTTTCCTGTGCGGTCTGAATCCCTGCCTGATTCTCGATGCAAAGTACAACAAGTGCATAAAATAATTGCTCCATAAATACAAAATGTGTCAGAAAATAGAAAGACTGGGACCTGTCATCAGTGCAGCCTGGGGAGGCTATTTAGGCTAGTGGTTTGTCAGTGAAGTGACAGCCAGGGAAAAGTAGGCCCAATTCAAAGGTGGTGTCTAAAGATAGAGATAGGACTTGTCCATTTGACGTGCAGCATGGGTTGAGAGTCTAGCTTGGAATGAGTCACTCGGATCTTTTTTTTTACAGATACTTTTTATTATTTTAGTAGTAGTAGTAGTAGTAGTACTATTATTTATTATTATTATGGGTTGGGCAGGGATTAGACATTGGTGGTGTTCTGCAATAGCAAGGCAGTGATGTGGGTAGAAAAATAACGTTTCTAATTTTGCAAAGTCAGTGCTGCTAGACTGCTGGTAAAGCACAAACATCTTTGGTTCTGACTTTGCAGAAAAAAACCTGCTCTGTTTTAGTATTTTGTTGGGGTTCCCACGTAGCCTCTGACACTATGGGAGCTGAGCACTTTCCAGGAGTGCAGTAAATCCTGTGAGAAGCCTCTGCCATGCGCCATTCTTTTCCATACCACTTTTCTTCCCCTTGAGGAAAGAAAGCTATATGTTACGCATTTTCAGTTTGTTTTTTTTATTTTGTGATGTGTTTAGGACTCTCACTAACAAGTGCAAGGTCAAATATTGTTTTTGGAAAGGAAAAGGCTAAATCTTGATGTGCTTAATATCTGATTGCGTTTTGGGCTGGGTCTGTAGAAAGCTGTTCCCTGCCTAAGTTTTGCGTTTGCAAAGCATGTGTCCTTATGATAGAGAAGTGAGAGATGCTGATGAGCTTTCACTGTTAGTGTTGGCTGGCCTCCACCCCCATTTTCTTTCTCTCCTTCTTTCTCTCCCCTCACCTCCAAATGTGTCTCTGCTGTACCCCAAAGTGATGAGCAGAACTGACTCAGTATGAGCAGAGCCCAATACCAGTGACTATAGGTTGTCTTGGACAGCTTAAAGGGAAAAGGAGGGTAGAAAATAAAGTGCAGAGGGCAGTGACCTCATTTCTGTGCTATGAGCGTTTTGCAGCTGGCAGTAGGCCAGCGGCAGGAGGAGGCATGGCTGGAACAAACCCTGCTGCAGCAAACCTGAAGGGTTTCGGCAGGAAGAAGCACAAACTGGGTAGGTAGGGTTCTCAGATAACATGAACCAAACATGACAGATGCTCAACTAAGACCTTCCCACGAATTAATGTTTTTAGGTGGGGTAGGAGGAGTGCAAGAGGGTGTGAAAGGAGGGAGCTGAAATAACGAGGAACAGTACATCCCCTTTACACATCCAGCTGCATGCAGGTGACCTGAGCTGCTAAGAGCATCTTGTGGCACCTTCCCTGTTTCCCCACTCATTCCCACCAGGCTTAGCTCACCAGCGCAGGTGGGACCACTGCAGCAGGCACACACTGAAGCCAGGATTGCCATCTGACACATGCCAAAAAAGAAAAAAACAAAAACAAAAAACCACACCCCCCCACCAAACAGAAAAAAATAACCAAAACAAAGGAAAATTACAGACCTGTGATTTTTCACCCTGTTACTGAGACTGATCATAAAAATCAGGACAAATCACAACACCTGGCATCTATGGCCTAAATGTAGTCCAAGCTCCTGGCAGCACTGTGATAGGGGAGATAAAATTGCTTTCTTTGCCTCCTTGCATTAGTCCTAATCCCAGTATGTGGAAGAGTCTGGCCCAAGTCAGACAGCCCATCCCAGAGCAGCTCAGCAGAAGTCTGTCCTGGTGAGTCCTGGCAAGATGTCACAAGAGGCCAGATTGCAGATAAGGAGGAACCCATCCCCTATTGCTTTCAGTGGGAGGCAAGCAGCTAAACCCCTCTAAGAAATTGTCCTGTCATGCCTGAATGCTGTACGAAGCAACTTCTGCTTCTGGTACTTAACATTTAAAAGAAAGAGTTCACCTAAAACCCTGTCCCTGTTTAAAAACTCTAATTTCTTGCAGCTAGGATGGGAACTTGCCACCCTGCAAAACATTGGAAGTAGCTGTCCACTGAATTGCTATACTGCAAATAGACTGTGCTATTAATAATTATTAACATGATGAATATTTCCCCTATATATATAATGATACCAACAAAAAGAACCAATTTCTGCTCTTTAGAGATCAACCTTTACACAAGGCCAATGGGGTGAGAGCAGTCAGAGTGCTCTTAAGTGTGTGCTGTAGCTATGAGTATATGATTTCCCCTCCTTTCTTCACCATTTTCCCTTGGCAATGCTGCATGACAGTTGTTCAGTGCTTGGTAGGCTCCATGAAAGGACTCTAAGGTTCTGCCCAAATCTGCTGCTTCTTCATTATTTTGATACAATGATTGCCAAGCATTTTGACACAGTGAACACAGTTTTAGTTAGGTCTCATTATAGCTCATTACAGGGAGATTAGATGTTAATTATTTATAATACCAATGTCATCAACTGCTTTTGCAGTGCTTTCCTTGGGAAGATCTCAAAACACTTTACAAAGAAGCTCAGTAGTATATCCATACTTTAAATCTGGAGCAGTTTATTAGACCCCAATCGGATCAGCTGACATGGACATGCAAATACAGTCAACACATTCAGCAAGCACAACGTGTGATGCCACAGAACCTTTATAGGGAGAGCAGAGATCTCCACGCTTTGGCTTTGCAGCTTCTACAAGCTGCTTCCCGCTCCCATTTAAAACCCAAAGGTTGTGCCAACAAACGGCAGGAGGATTTTATGCCGAGTTTCCCTCCTGCCAGGCTCTTAGAAAATGTTATTACTCTCCTCTCAGGCTGTTTTCTCAGGCAGGGTTGGTGCAGCCTGTTTCCACCTCTGGGACTTGCTAACTCCCACACCAGTTTCTCCATGGACAAAACCAGCTTGAAGCCGGGAGGGCAGTCACTTGCTTTCGCTCTTTTTCTCTGCAACCACTAAGTCGAAGCAACATGCGGGGGAGGGAGGGGACCGCATCCCAAGCCAAGGGACGCTCTTCTCTCCTTTCAGCAAAAAGAGTAAGGCTGGGCTTTTCCCCAGCCTCCCTTTTATAACTTCTGACTTTCTGTGCAGGAAATGGCTCTTTCTGGTCTTGGCGTTATCTTTTAAATGCACTAATACTGCTGCCTTGGGCTTTTGAGCGGAGAAAGGCATCCAGCTTTCCTACCCAGAAAACCTTTTAGTAACTTCCCTTGGAGGCTGCTGCTTTGCCCAAGGCAAAGGTTTGCAGAACAGAGCTGGGATTGGAGTGGATGGGAGAAGGGGAACGGGGCAGGGAGAGCAAAAGAACAAAACTCATTGCAGGAAAATGGAGCTAGGGGTTCAGGAGGCAGATTTGCAAGAGGCGTGTTTTCCGCCATGCTCCCACCCACCGCTGTACTGTCCTGCCGAGGTCAGACTGCTGAACAGGAACATGCAGAAAGCAGGAGACCGGGACAGTGTAGAAGACATTATTTAATAGCTCATTTAAATAACATGACAATGTCAACATGTGAACAACTTACACCTGTCAAAGGTGGCACAGAATATCCTGTTGTGTTTTGCCATTTATCCGGTGCATATGTTTGGAAAATAGAAACAAATACTGTCCCATCAGGAGCTTCAGTATATAACCAAAGTTTAGACTTTCTTTTTTAAGAAACAGCTTGACATTGAAACAGAGGTGCAAAAGCAACATGATATATAAACAAAACAGGTTTTAAATAAGTTTCTAAGCATGTTCTCTACTGAAAGCCATTTTTTAAAATTCAGTTTTACATCTATAAATACATAGTACAAAAATGCAAGTTTACAAGCCATTTTTCCCAATAGAGTTATACCATTTGAAGTTTTAAGTAGCAACATTCCTCCAACATAAGATGCATACATTTAAGAGCAATAATATTAAGTATTTACATATAAAGTTATGAAGTGTTTGAGGATATAAATTAGTAACAACACACAGAGACAAAAATACATGTACTGTGAAATAAATAATTCAACAGCTTTACATATGACGGTATCTATAATATTATACAAACGAAATATACAAGATTGTAGGACTTGATCTTGCAGTTGCTCATATCTGTCACTGGAGCGTCTGAGTAATCCCAGTGCAGTAAAAAAGCTACTTTATGGGGTTAATCATATGCTGAAAATCAGGTGCACAAAACTACCTTACTGAAACGGCTCCTGACAGAAATGTCTCCTGACTAGATCAGGCCCCACAGAAAACTTGGTGTGAATTAATGTGTTTAGTTTTATTCTTGTGAGTTGAGATACTGTTGGCATTCGGGGTCTCCTTTCATTTCTGGAGATCCAGGAATTCTTCTTCCATTTTTTGGGTAGACACACCAGCATCCAGCAGACTCTCCATCCAGTGATGTTTCGCACTAGAATATTATTAGCAAAACAAAACCCGCAATAAGTAACTGTAAGCAGAAGGTTACCTGTGAGATACTGCAAGTAGAGGTGTTGGACAGAACTAGGATCAGAAGGTGGGGACCTGCCATGCACAGGCTTGTTTTGAATGCGGTGGTCCCTGCTCTGACAGAGCCTCTGACCAACACACTTGGTTAGGGAGCCATGACCCAAGCTCAGCTACCACAACAGCAACTTTAGATTTAAAACAGTTTGCTCCCTCCTTGGTAAACAGCAGTATAAAACAGCAATGTCTTCCAGTGTGAGAAACTGAAGGAAGGCAGAATATATGAGCTGGTAGGGCGAGAGCAAGGACTGGATGGTCTGGCTCTTCATGCAAGGAGGCAAATAGGGTGGGTTTTTTCTTGGGGAGGGGGGCTAAACAGATTTCTGTTTGTGCCTGATTAGATCCCAGGTCACAATGTTTGTGAGTCACACAGTGGTGCCATGCCCAAAAACAAGGAGTCTCGGTGACACAGATTTATGCAGACCTACTAAATTTGTGTGCATGACCTGTGGTTACAAGGGTGTGGCTTGAGGTTTGGAGCTTTAGTTAGGTTTGCAGATTACTCTCAGTGTAACTTGCAATGGCTTTTTTGGAGGCTACAGCGGAAATGAGCATATAACATAATCCATAGGCAGCACAAGTCAGTATTTTTGTTCTACTTTCAGAAGGCTAATTTTGCTCCAGAGAGTTTTTTCACGGCCTGTGTGAGTTTTTCACTGCCTGGGAGCTGAGAGCCTCCTTTCTCCATAGTGATTATTACATATTAAATAGGCTTTGCAGGCAGTATGGTGGATATTAGGAATTAATGTCAACTAGGAATATGCTAACAAATTAGGTACATGGAGCTTGATTTGGCCTGGGAACAGACAGGGTTAAAAGATTTTGGAGAAGGCCTTGCGTGCACCTGTTCTGTGAATGGAAAAGACTCCTGCCTCCATTGCTGTCAGCCCACAGCATGCGGCTCACTTTTAAGAGAAGGACAAACCATCTGCTCCCACTACTAAGTATCCATGTTTTCACAACCTGCTTTTCCAGCAGCTGCAAACTTGTGAGTTTGGGAGCAGAGGGCTATGAAAGGGTTGGCTGTGCCAGGCTAGTCGCAGTGCTGCTGTGAGCAGACAGGGCAAAAGGCACGTACCTGTTTGCTGTGGTAAAGTCCATTCTTGTTGCAGTTGGGCAAGTAGAATTTGTAAATCTCCCCTCCGCTTCTCTGCTGTGCCTTCACCAATTTATACAGGGCTCTGTAGAGCTCCTTCTGACAGGGTCCCTGAAGGAATACCATGCAAAGGTTGTCAATACCAAAATCACAAGGAAACCAGCTAAACAAAAAGTGATCAGTATAAAGCTAGCAAAAAGCTGAAAATACTTATTAGTCATAAAAAATCTGCACCAGGCTGCTTTGCATGTAGTTTTTACTTGTTTCAGTAGGAGCACAGCCAGAAAAATCTGGTGTTGCATTTAGGCCTTTGTTTTTATTCTTTGAGGTATTTTCTGTCCTCAGAAACATGAGGATTTAAGTCCTTAAATTGCCACACAAGGAAATTTAACCTGTACTAAGTAAACACATTACTGCTCAGAGGTTACAATCTCTCCTATTATGGGGAGGTGCACATTAGGAGGCTGGTGTACGTGAGACTAGCCACGTTTTCTGGGTTGCCATGGCCCTGCGCTCTGTTGATGTATGGAGAATAGGTGCATGACATATATAGACGGTGCAAGAACAAACATCTGAATGTTTGTTATCTTTTGTACAGGACAGAGCTGTCGCCAAAGCAGAATAGAGAGCACCCCTGTGGCTCTGAGACCCTAACCCAAAGTGCCTAGAACTGGGGATGAAGAACTGTTTGCAATATTTGCTATTTTCACAATTTGCTCGCTCCCTTTTTCAAAGTCACAATTGCTGTGTATTAGTGAAAGGGGAGGAGAAGTGACGGAACAAATATTTTTACTTTAGAGTGAAAAATAATCATATCCTCTGCTTTTGCAAAATCTCCCCGTGTCAGCCCCTCACATAAGTGGTCCTATTCAAGTCAACAGGCTTATCTGTGGCTCTGGTTGAGAAAAGCAGAAACCTAAAAATCAGAACTGGAGCTAACAGCACTTGTGTATAATAGTTCAAACTAAATCAGTGATTAAGTCCTGTTCTGGGTGTGGAATGAGGCTTCCTAGGGTGGGGTGGTGGTTAGTAGGTTTTTGCCCTTTTTTTTTTTTTTCTTCATTTTGTCTGTGACCATTACAAAATTGGGCTTCTGTGGTGCCCAATTCTAATCTAGCTCCGTGCTGCGGGTGTGCTGGCTGCCTGGGTCTGGTCTAACTGTGGTTCTCTGGTGCCCTCAAGTGGAACATGGACCTGCCTGCAAAGGCCCCACACCCCCATTACTCACTGCGATTTTGCAGTGTCGAAGGTAAAAGCTTACTTTAATTGCTGAGCTTTCTGTCTTTTTAGATGCATCTCCTTAATAGCTTTTCCTTGTGATCAGAAAGAAACACGTTTTAGTTTGCATTGGTGTTTCATCAATAACTGTGTGTAAAGTCTCCCTTTTATTTCACTGAGCACTGGACCAGAGACAAATACATTTTATTTTTTTAACTAAACAAGTCCAAGATTTTAATATGGGCTCCTGGAAATTAAGGGCCCATGTTATAATCTGATAGTAAATGCAGGGAAATATTCAGCCTCTGCATGGAGTCTGTATAGGACATATCTGATGCACAACTGTTTTTATCATTCCTGCCATTTTGCCTGTTCCTCAAGCATCTGATGAAAGCATTCCAAAAGTCTGTTTGCTGGCTACCCAAAATACTGACATCCCAGTGTTACTGCTAGAATTTCACGTCCATTTTAATTTCGTATTCTGAATCAATAGCATCTACTGGAATGGTCTCTGAAAGGTTTGCAAAGAAAATCCACCTGCTCTTTCCATTTCTTGAGTTCAGATATTCTCTTTGCTTTCATGTTTTCATATGCAGTGATGGCATTCCAGGGGATGGATTTGTCCTGGCCTATGGGAAACATCAACTGATAGTTCAGCAGCTGATCCTGTGTCATTTCAGTGCTTTCCAAAGGCATATCCTCAGGTTCAGTAGAGTCTGGAAAGGAATGATATTAAGGTGAACATCTTCAGTTAACTTTTGCATTTACTTCTCCAAGTTAAAAACGTAAAGAAAAAGAAGAATAAGCAACAACAACAAAAAGTAGTATCTAAGACAGATCCATTGCAGTAGTTCTTGCAGGAGTAATAAATTACATGTGCAGCACAGCAAATTAAACTTCTGTCATAAATTCATATGAGGATGCATCAGCTGTTCTCTAACAAGTTGGTTATTTTATGATCCTTCGAAATCACTCTAATCCCAAAGAGGAAGCTGCAGCCAGTCTGTTAGAAATGAAAAAAACTTTCTATACCACAGTGGGTTGTAGAGACTTTGCTAAATGAGGAAAGGCTGGAGTTAAACTTGTAATGAATTTAGATTTTTGTCAGCATGATGTGTTTCAATTTTTATTCAGGAGAGGAACTGGTCCAGACCTGATCCCATGGCATCCTGTACTTTGTTCTGTGGCTCGCCTCACATATAAGAAGGCGAAGCAATTCACAGGAGCCAGCAGTAGCTCACACTGGCCTGCAGTGGATCAAATAGCCAGGGAATGGCAGAAACTGTTTGGATGTGCCTGATCATGGCCCGCACGCCAGTGCCTAGCTCAGCGCATGTGAACTCTCCCACTGGAAGCAACAGAAGCTCTTTGCAATTGCACAAACTTATCATGGGATAAAAGGTTAACATGTGTCTAAATAGCTTGTTGGATCAAAGCTGTAAGAACAATCATCCAACGGACTAAAAACCACCTGTTTTTCCCTTTGACAATGTTTAAGAAAAAATGGAAGTGGAAAATTGTGGAGGGAAAGAAAGAAAGAAAAAAACCAAGGAAAGAATAAAATAAAATACTAGACCTTAACTGCAGGAGGCTTAAACACTCAGTTTTGTCACTGTTCTCTCCCCTCCCTGCCCCCTCAAGTACAAGAGAAACTCCACTTACTGCCACCAATGGCCATTGTTATTTTGAGTCAACAGCGATTATTTCTGTAATGCTACCCAGGTACCTTAATCACCACTGCATGAACATAGCAGTAATGATGGTGAAAATAATAATAATAAAATTGTAAAATAATGAAATAACATTGAAGAAGTTCCTGATCATCATATAGCATAAGATGCTTGATAGGTCTTTTTGCTCAAAGATAGTTTGGCTAGCAGTGCGCTACTTCAGATACGTTTTATTCTTGAAATGAAGCCAGGCACAAAGCCTGTGAGGTATTTTCATTCTCTATCGTGGCTTTTGGAGGTGGACATAAGCAAAGTTTAGAAAACGCTTGTCCTACTCTAGTTACTGTTTACTACTAACGAAAAACTGTCTATGGCTTCCCAGAAACCTTATTCTGATTATTCTGCATCGTCCCATCACCACGCTTTAGGGTTTTCCTGCGTGCTGCCTGTGGCGTAACAGCCTGCTGCGAACATCTCTTGGCTCCGCACCAGGATGCGTCTCACCTCGCACAGGTCGGAGCGCGTTTTCCTGGAAAACGCAGTCCGCCTTCCCTGTTTTTCGAACGCCTGCCTAACTTCGCTCATTTCCCCAAGATCCTGACGCCCAGCGCCCGCAGCGCCTTCACTGGCCCTGGGCTCATCCCGCTGCCGAGCCCTCGCTCCCCTCGGCGAGCGGCTCTGCCGCAGCGCCCCGGCGCGCAGCTCCCCA